TTAGGGATCCTATATAACCTGTCCCCCACCCACTCATACCGTTCCCCATCTAATCCTTCCTCTCCAGTATCTGCCCTGTCCCTATACTTCTGGAGGGTCGAGTCTGTCTGAGTTTCCCTCCCAAACTCCTCTGGGGAGTCCCAGTTAACAAAGGTCGGTTCTAGGGTACCAGTCGGGGACTCGGTCCTTACCTGGGTCTCAGCAGCAGGTGGGCTGGTTCCAACAGCACGGGTCTGGGCACGGGTAGTCACTGGGTTGATAGCGGCAGGTCCCATTGGAGCATAGGCGGACACCAAACATGCAGGGAGGTGTGACTAGGGTTCATAAACAAAGGATTTAACTCCTAAATGGCAGAGGATTGAGCAGTGAGGCTACAGGGGCATGTTCTATACACCAAAACTGCTTTGTTAAGCTAAAGTTGTTCAGGTGACTATAGTGTCCCTTTCAAATGACCCCCACATTCACGTGTCCAGAAAGCCCACTTAGCCCCCAATCCAAGTGAGGACCCGGGCAACCGCGTAAGCGGAACAACTTGCACCTCCCGGTAAGACCAGCACAAAAGGCCTATTTCTCTCAAATATTGTTCACAAATCTGTCTAAATCTGTGGAAGTGAGCACTTCTCCTTTGCCGAGATAATCCATCCACCTGTGATGATTATGCCATGGTTTGCAGAGGCAAGTAATTTTTGGGTCTGTAAAGAAGTGTAGGACTCAAAAATGTATGCCCTGTTATGATATTTCTAAAATGGTTCTCCATGGTGAAGTACTGGTATTTTCTCCTTACAGCTTTTCAGTACCAATAAAAATAATAACTGTCATTCATATTGTTTCAGTGGGGATTGCGGGGGTGCCATATGTGTTGGAGGTGTGGAAACGAGCCAGAATATCCTTTACATGTGTGGTGGTCATACAAACTTCATAGTCAAAAATCATAGTCTGGTCTCTTGTTTGTTTGTTTGTTTTTCTGGTGCATTTTACTCCAGAAACAGTGCTGTTGAATCACGTGCCCACCCCAAACCATGCATGTATGAAGTGACTTACTGGTAGGCTTATAAATTCATCCAAATCTCTCATTCTAGTTGGCTGAAAATCCAATGCTCATTCTTTGATGTTCTTCATATGCCTTAATCCTCTCAATGTTCTAGGGCGTTGAGGGGATTAACGTATACGAACAACTCTCTACACTTCTCTACAGGATAAAGGCATATTGACTTCAAATTAGTTTTTATCAGTCTGGTCCCCTTGTATTTTGTATACAGGCTTTTCAACTCATGGAAGGAGTAGAACCTTATTGAATTTATCCTGCAATTGGTTTTGCTTCATTTTCCTTTGCATTATCTTTTTCTCTTTCATCTCCCTCCTTCTTTTCTTTTTTTTCCAAACGTATCTCCCAAACCGGATTTGATACCACTAGTTTATAGTAGTTTTTGGTTGTACACCACTTGTTTATATATCTTGTATTCTTTTGTTCAATCTTAGCATAGCTTCTTTTGTTATACAATCTTCTGGTATCATAACAAAACATTTATGGTTTTGGTACTAGATTTTATATTGTGCCATTTCCTTCTCTTTATGTTTTTTTTTTTTTGGTTCTTTATGTTTCTTTGTGCATATGAGGCCAGACCATTGGCGGATCCAGGGGGGGGGCAACGGGGCAATTGCCCCCCCCGAGATTCCCCCCTGCCGGCTAACGCAGGGCTGGCATTGCCCAAGTGCCAGCCCTGCAATGTGCCTGCGGACCGGGGAGGAAGATCAGAGATCTCCCTCCCCGGTCCGCAGGCACTGTGCTGACAGCCGGCGGGGGAGGGAGGGAGTGAGAGAGAGGACCCGGAGCTCAGTCTGTAGCTCCTCCGGGTCCTCCTCTCTCGAGATTTGGAGCGTTGCCGCGGTTACCACGGCAACGCTCCAAATCTCGCGAGAGTGAACTCTAGCCCGGGAGCGCGGGCTAGAGCTCACTCTCCACACTGGGACCACCAATGAATCCCCACCGGACCACCAGGCACCAAGAAATGTCCCCCCTCCACCCCAGTAAAGGTAAGAAGGGAGGGGGGACATAGAATATTTATTTTTATTAAATAAAAATTTTTTTTATTATTTAAAAGCCTCCTCCCCCCCCATTACACACACTGCCCCCCATTAAACACACTGCCCCCCCATTACACACACTGCCCCCCATTACACAAACTGCCCACCCATTACATACACTGCCCCCCATTACACAAACTACCCACCCATTACATACACTGCCCCACACACACTGTCCCCATACACACACTGACCCCCATGCACACACTGCCCCACAAACACTGTCCCCCATACACACACACTGCCCCACAAACACTGTCCCCATACACACACCACCCCCTCAAGCAAACACTGTCCCCATACACACACACTGCCCCCCATACACACACACACACACTGGCCCCACACTGTCCCCCATACACATACCGTCTCCACAAACACTCACTGTCCCTCATACACATACCGCCCCACAAACACCCCCATTACACACACACACCGCCCCACAAACACTGTCCTATACACACACCGCCCCCCAAACACTGTCCCCATACACACACACTGCCCCCCATTACATACACTGCCCCCATACACACACTGCCCTCCATTACACACAGTGCCCTCCCAGTACATACACTGCCCCCATACGCACACACTGCCCCACAAACACTGTCCCCATACACACACTGCCCCACAAACACTGTCCCCATACACACACTGCACACCCACAAACACTGTCCCCATACACTCACTGCTCCACAAACACTGTACCCATACACACACTGCACCACAAACACTGTCCCCATACACACACTGCTCCCCATACACTGTCCCCATACACACACTGCACACCCACACTGTCCCCATACACACAATGCCCCACAAACACTGTCCCCATACACAAACTGCACACCCATACACACACTGCCCCACAAACACTGTCCCCATACACACACTGCCCCCATACACACACACTGCCCCAAAAACACATACAGTGCCCCCATACATACACTGCCCCCTAACACACACACTACAACCCAGACATACACTGCCGCACTCACACACTTCACCCTTAACACACACCACTGCTCCTATACCCTATATACCAGCAGACCCCAGATAAGTTGTCAAACTGTTCTTAAACGGTATGACTACTTACTCTGGGGTGGAATCCTGGCACTACTGACACCATAACTACTACACTGAGCTGTAGTGGTTATTGTGCCTGGATTATTTAATTAAATAATCTACAAGTGCCCCTCCCGAGATCAGGCTCTGGATCCGCCACTGGGCCTACTTTGGTATATTTCTCTTTACTTGTGTTTGTTAATATGACCTTGTGTTATACTGAAAAATCATCCATAAAAATATTAAAGTGGCTCTGTGCCCACACCTCTATGTTATAAAAGATCCTCACATTGACGGTGCGTGAATTTCACTGAAATTCAATCCCAGTCAAAAGATATAATAAGACAAAATAGAGGTAAGTGAAGCCTTGCCAAAGCTGGTCAAGTCCCCAACCATCACTAGGTATAGCGGAGAGGAAAAAGGCTTTGTCTATGGATGATCCTGCAGATTGATTTTAGGATTGACCAATTGAGCACGCCCCAGAGTGCAGACCAATTGAGCATGCAGAGTGCTCCTGGTAGCTGAAGTGGATGGATTAAGGATATACAGGCAGGGGCAGAGTAATAATACATAGGCAACGGCGGGAGCGGAGGTATAATATACAGGCAGCGACGGGAGCGCGCGGGGGGGGGAAATCATATACAGGCAGGGGCAGAGAGATCATATACAGGCAGGGGTGGGTGCAGAGGCATAATATACAGGCAGGGGTGGGATATACAGGCAGCAGCGAGAGCGGAGCAGGAGATCCTACTACCCCAACACTAAACAACAGTGAATGGCATCCCTGCGGCCTCTTGTTTCCCTGATGCCGGAAAAGGAAAGCTACATGGGAGGAGAGGGTGGACAAATCACTAAATACGTGTTGTGTGAGTGTGTAACTGTGTGGACGTTTATATTACGACTGGCCGGCGGCAGTTAATTAATTACTTTTATAAACATTAAATAAGTTACTCCTTTTAATGCAATGTTATTTATGTGAACAATGCGTAATCTGATATCTGACAGGTGATATTTTAGCTGTTCTATATCAATCTGCAGAAGTCAGTAAACAGAGGAGAGCACTGTGTAACAATAAGATGGCTACCACGGACACATTTGTTTTCAGGCTATGAATCCCAAACAAGAGCAGAAGTGGTAAAATAGCAGCATTGAGAATGGTACTGAAAATAAAGTTAGACTATCCACGTTACTTTAATGCAGTATTCTGAGTGAACATCAACAAAAAAAATAAAAAAAATAATAATAATAATAATAATAATAAAATATATATATATATATATATATATATATATATATATATATATATATATATTTCAGATTTATTGTCCTATTTATCAGAAATATACCATTAGATCTATTGTGCTCCTGGAAAATCATAAAAGGCAAAAATCGGAACTGGACAACTTTTAGGACAAGTCAGGGATTACATCTACTGAAAATAACGACACAGACCTTGTAAAAGAGCTTGTGGTGCAGGAAGCGGTGAATCCAGTAGATTGCCATGTCAGTAAAGAATAGGAATGAAATCATACTGAGGATCACCCCAAACCATCCTGTAACGAGATACATGTCAATGTCGCAGTCTGTGGATTTAGAGACTCCACAATCGTGTTCGGTTTGTGTTGCAACACTTACCATATGGAGAACTGTCAATGTTGTCGTAAAGTCTGCTATACCCTCGAACTTCGGCAAAAAACAAAGCAACGGTGGGAATGCTGATCCAAGGCATGGACTGCATGGAAAACTTGATCTCACGTCGAACCTGATTCTGCAAAATGAGAGAATGCAGAGTGATCAATAGACCTCCACTAACACACAAACATTAACACTTCCCTGTACAGCTTGTGACAGACCATGTACAAGGTACGGCAGCCGGTGAAATCTCCCCTGGGGATTATTCAAAAAAGTGAGAAATTAATTACAATTGCCAAGTCAAAGAAAAATTGAACTCAGAAAAATGAAAATGGAAATATCAGGATAGAAAGGTGAGAGAGTTTGTCTAAAGGTGAATTCTGTCCCTGATCCCTTTACCTCAAGGAACTGCGGGTGTTTCATCAACGAATGGTCAAACACGAAATAGTAGCTGAGCCCCCCAAACAGAAAGTAGATAGCCAAAGCACCGATATTGGTTACAAGGAACAGACTGAACAGCTGGCGGAAAGAATTATCTTCACTCCACGAAGCAGGGTAGACGTACGGCGTGAAAACATAATAATCCGCCACATTCAGCACTAAATCCATCGTTACACCTGAAAGAAAACACCAAGGCGTGTTCATTGTATTATTATATAGTTAATAAATATAGGAGTGATATACAGGCGGGACAATGTCACTCCTGAGTTGGTTTATAACAGACACTGAACTTTAAAAACTTTTACAAAACCCAGCTTGTGGTGTACCTCCTTATAAACGATTCAGTTTATATAATTTACCATTACTTATTAATGGAACACTCCAGCATTAGAAATATAGTTATTTACAAAAGGTTGTGTGTCCTCTGGGATGCTTTTGTGCCTCTTTTTCCAGTAAATAAAGAGTTAATGGAAACCTGCAGTGTTACAAATACAGAGCTGCATTCCTAACACTGCAGTGCACTCTGGTCTCCCTCCCAGGGAGGTTATATTAGGTGGGGGGGTTAGTTAGTTACCTGTGTGAGGGTCTCAGGGAGGTTATATTAGGTGGGGGGGTTAGTTAGTTACCTGTGTGAGGGTCTCAGGGAGGTTATATTAGGTGGGGGTTAGTTAGTTACCTGTGTGAGGGTCTCAGGGAGGTTATATTAAGCGGGGGTTAGTTTGTTACCTGTGTGAGGGTCCCAGGGAGGTTATGTTAGGCGGGGGTTAGTTAGTTACCTGTGTGAGGGTCTCAGGGAGGTTATATTAGGTGGGGGGTTAGTTAGTTACCTGTGTGAGGGTCTCAGGGAGGTTATATTAGGTGGGGGTTTGTTAGTTTCCTGTGTGAGGGTCTCAGGGAGGGTATATTAGGGGGGGGAAGGGAGGTTATATTAGGTGGGGGTTAGTTAGTTACCTGTGTGAGGGTCTCAGGGAGGTTATATTAGGTGGGGGTTAGTTAGTTACCTGTGTGAGGGTCTCAGGGAGGTTATATTAGGTGGGGGTTAGTTAGTTACCTGTGTGAGGGTCTCAGGGAGGTTATATTAGGCGGGGGTTAGTTAGTTAGTTAGCAGTGAGGAGGTTGGTTGGTTGGTTGGTTAGTCAGTGTTTTGGTTACCTGAGGCGATCACGCTCTCTGCTCTCGTTGCCTCTCAGTTGTGCTCACTCAGTGACAGCTAGAGGCGGAGCTTTGAACTGACAGTGAGGGCGGGGACTGATGGACTGATGTGACGTCATGAATCCCTGTAATGGGCCGACGATCGACAGTCAGGTCACATGACAAAGGCCTGGGCAAGGGGTTGGACAGGCGGACGTCTCCAGTCTTGGAAAATCCCGCCCATCTAGCTGTCAACCAGCGGAGCGGCCAATCAGCGACCTGTGGGCGTGGCCCGTGGGATGTCAGTGGGACCCATGTTGGGCAAGGTTGGTTCCCGGTGTGGGGCGTGGTTTAGAGGAAGCGAGGCGGGGCTTAAACTTAGCCGAACCCCCTTCTCCCTGCCAGGACTGGTGTAGGACTCATACAGTACATTAATAGTTACCATCAGAGGGGTAATTACCAGGACTGGTGCAGGACTCATACAGTACATTAATAGTTACCACCAGAGGGGTAATGACAGGACTGGTGCAGGACTCATAAAATACATTAATAGTTACCACCAGATGGGTAATGAAAGGACTGGTGCAGGACTCACATAATACATTAATAGTTACCATCAGAGGGGTAATGAAAGGACTGGTGCAGGACTCACATAATACATTAATAGTTACCATCAGAGGGGTAATGAAAGGACTGTAGGAAAAGGTTACTGATTGCACAAGGTTTGAATTCCTGTTGGTAATTATAAGGCATTTGATTTGATTAAGCTAGTTACTTGCTGTTGATTGCTGGTTAATTATCTATTGTTTGCAAATAAGCAGAGGCCTACCCAGGTGTTAAACATTCCTAGTGGGCGGTGATTTAAGGAGTTATATAAGGCTTGGTCTCATTAGCTTGTCTAATATAGCTTGGTGCTACTTCTAAGTGCTGTTTCTAAGTGTGTAGTTGGAGATATTCTGGAGAGTGCTGTTTCTAATTGTGTAGTTGGAGATATTCTGGAGAGTGCTGTTTCTAATTGTGTAGTTGGAGATATTCTGGAGATAACCTGGAGGTAATCTGAGGTATTCAGCAGGATAAAGAAAAAAGTTAAGATTTGTTAGATTTAAATTATTCTCCTAATTGGAATGGCAGACTTAGTTCAGTGTAATAATTGCTATGCATTTGTTTCACGTTCCACTTTTTGGAGGTTTGGTTGTTGTCTAATCTGTAGACAGTTCTCTATCTTGCGGCAGGAGATTGTATTTTTGAAGTCTGAGATTTGTAAATTATCTGGTGAAGAAACTCAGACTGGAACTGCTGCAAAGCCACTGCCGCAGAGACATACTAGGAAAGGCAGATGGATTACTGTAGGATCTGGTAGACTTAGAGTTGTGGATAAAAGGCATTTTGCACAGTCTGTTGCTCTTCATAATTCATTTTCTGCACTTTCAGAGTGTAATGGTGTTGTGGAGAGAGGCACTGAGGCTAGTGGTGTTGTGGAGAGAGGCACTGAGGCTAGTGGTGTTGTGGAGAGAGGCACGGAGGCTAGTGGTGTTGTGGAGAGAGACACTGAGGCTAGTGGTTTTGTGGAGAGAGGCACGGAGGCTAGTAGTGTTGTGGAGAGAGACACTAGGGCTAGTGGTTTTGTGGAGAGAGGCACGGAGGCTAGTGGTGTTGTGGAGAGAGGCACTGAGACTAGTGGTGTTGTGGAGACCGGCTTGGAGACTATGGTGAGGCCTAATAGAAAGCAGTTGTTGTTGGGCGATTCCATCATAAGAGGTGTGGAGATGGACAATGGTGGTCTTGTGAGGTGTCTTCCCGGAGCTACTGCTCACAGAGACAGGAGACGTATCTGTAATATTGTTAAGCAAGCAAAGCAGGAAGGGGAATTGGATGTACTTGTCCATCTAGGGACAAATGACTTGGCTTGCAATGAGGTTTCAGAGGTTAAGGAAGTTTTTAGTGTTTTTGCCAATGATATACGGCAGGTTGCTTCCACACTGTCATTCTCTGAAGTTCTGCCTGTGTGGTTGTGTGTGAGTGGCGCAGTGTGTGTATAAGGGGGCAGTGTGTTTTTGTGTGAGGGGTGCTGTTTGTGTATGGGGGCAGTGTGTGTATTGTGGCTATGTGTTTAAGGGGGGCAGTGTGTGCATCGGGGGCTATGTGGGTAGGGGGGGCTGTGTGTGTATAAGGGGCAGTGTGTTTGTGTGAGGGGTCCCAACTTTTTTTGTGTATGGGGCAGTGTGTGTGTGTGTGGCTATGTGTTTTAGCGGGCAGTGTGTGTATTGGGGGCTATGTGAGTAAGGGGGGGCTGTGTGTATAAGGGGGCAGTGTGTGTATGGGGGGCTGTGTATGTAAGGAGGGCAGTGTGTGTAAGGGGAGGCAGTATGTGAATTGGGGGCAGTGTGTGTATGAGGGGCAGTGTGTGTAAGGGGGGGCTGTATGTTTGTGTGTGGTGCAGTGTGTAGGGGGTTATAGTTTGTGTGAGGGGATAGGGGGCAGATTAAAGATAATTTTTTAAAATTATTAAATAGTTAAATAGTTACTAAATAAATATAGTTAATGTCCCCCATCACTTCTTACCTTTGCTGATGGAGGGGGAGACATTGCTTTCTTTCCATCCCTGGTGGCTCTATCGATGAGAGTAAACTCTAACCTACAGCTCATGGTAGAGTTCACTCTCGCAAGAATGGAGTGTTGCCGTGGTAACCGCGGCAACGCTTCGTGCTTGTGAGAGGAGAACCCGGTGGAGCTGCAGGTAAGAGCTCCCCCCGGGTCCTCTCTCCCTCTCCTGCCGGTCGTCCAGTAATGTGCCTGTGGGCCGTGTAGGGAGATCACTGAAAGTCCATGAAGGCAAACAGGAGGGCTGGCGCTTGGATAGCGCCAGCCCTGCATGGGCCAGCAGGGGAGACCCTCGGCCTCACTATTTTCTCGGGGGTGGGGGGAGGGGGGGCAATTGCCCCGTTGCCCCCCCCGGATCCGCCACTGCTGACACCATCTTCATTACTCCCTCTCTACTGCCCTCATCTCTGTATTCATCACATGCACTTTACTCATATCTATCCAGCCTTTCTCCACAAACCCCTCCTAAATCCTCTAAATACAAGCTCTCACCCCAAACATTTAAATCTTACTCCCACCTTCTCTTCCTTTCCACCCTACTGCTCCTGGCAGCTGGTGATGTCTCTCCAAACCTTGGTCCCTCCTCTACTAAACTACCTGGTGCTAACACCAGAAACCACAACCATCTCATATCTATTTCATGTAACTCTAACTATAATTCCTCCTTTAAAGCTGCCCTCTGGAATGCACGCTCTGTGTGCAGCACCGTTAAATCAACTTCCATCCATGACCTATTTCCCTCTGATACCCCTGCATCAGTATCCTTTGGTGGTCTTCACTTTACCCACAACCCAAGACAGGCTGGGAGTAAAGGTGGTGGTGTAGGATTTCTGCTTTCTCTCTACTGCTCCTTTAAAATTCAGTGTCTCCTTTTGCAATGACACCTCCTCGTCTCGGCCTGTCTCAGTTGGAGTCCCCTAAGGATCTGTTCTTGGTCCCCTTCTGTCCTCTCTTTATACTGCCTCTCTTGGCAAACTAATTAACTCCTTTGGATTCCACTACCATCACGACACCCAGATATATCTCTCCTCCCCTGATCTTTCCCCTGCCGTCCTGCAAAGTGTTACTGCTTGCCTTTCTACAATCTCTGATTGGATGTCCTCCTGCTTTCTGAAACTCAATCTCTGTAAAACTGAGCTTCTTATTTTTTTCCCCTCATAATGCTGATCCTGCTCCTTCGCTTTCCCTGTAAGTTGATGGTGCTTGGATCAGTCCATCCTTGCAAGCTTGTTGTCTTGGTGTTATCTTTGATCCTGGCCTTACCTTTGCACCACATATCAGGTATGTTGCTAAAACCTGTCAATTCCACCTTAAAAATATTGCCCACATCAGCCTCTTTCTCATGCAAGATGCTGCCAAGGAGCTTGTTCGTGCTCTGGTAATCTCTCGTATGGACTACTGTAATTCTCTCCTAGTTGGTCTCCCCAAAAGCCGAACTGCCCCGCTATAATCGGTAATGAATGCTGCCGTCAGACTGATCTTTCTCACCCGTCGCTCCTCCCATACATTGCCCCTCTGTCGATCCTTACACTGGCTTCCTCTATCCTATAGGTGTCAATTCAAAATACTAACCCCTACCTATAAAGCTCTAACCAACTCTAGACCCTCTTACATTTCTTCCCTTATTCATAGTTATGCCCCTTTTCGGTCTCTCCACTCTGCCGGTGACCTTCACCTATCCCTTACTGCTAACTTACGCTTGCAGGACTTTTCTCGGGCGGCTCTCTTCTTTTGGAACAGCCTGCCTACCCCCATCAGACTCTGCCCTAGTCTTCAATAGTTTAAGAAGTCCCCCAAAACACATCTGTTCAGAAATGCTTATGGACTCCCAGAGTAACTTATCTATATTTATCCAAGTCTGTCTCTCACTTTCCTAAAAGAGCCAAACTACACTCTCCCCTCCAGCTCTGCTACTTTTCCACCTTGTTTGGTGGCTGTCACCCTTGCTGCCCTGTTGTGTATTTGTACCCCACCTCATCTAGACTGTAAGCTCGTTTGAGTAGGGCTCTCATCTACCTATTGTTCCTGTGTCACTGTGTAATTGTCTAGTTTATTGTAAATTCCCTCCTCCCCCCCCCTTCATAAAATTGTAAAGCGCTGCGGAATTAGTTGGCGCTATATAAATACCAATAATAAAAATAATAATGTGTGCATGCATGTATGTATACACAGTGCTGTGCAAAAGCTTTATTTAAGTGTTAAGAATACTGTAAAGTGAAAATGGTTTCAAAAGTAGAAATGTTAATAGTTTAATTCTATCAATTAACAAAGTGCAAAGTTAGTGGACAGACAAAAAAAATCTAAGCAAATCAACAACTGGCATGGTCACCCTTTTCCTTCAAAGCAACATCAATGCTTCAAGGGGTACACTTGCAGAAAGGCATATGGTCAGTTGCATGATTAAACAACTATACATAACATGTGCTAATGATCATCAATTTATTATTTAGGTGGAATCATTAACCCGTTAAGTAAGGTGGCAATGTACAAGTTCTGAACCAAAACAATACATGCAATTTGAACTACAGTAAGGTCTGTAAATATTTGGACACTGACACAAGTTTTGTTATTTCA